AGCAGGAAGATGAACACACACACACCCTCAACCACGCCTCAACATGGGGCTGCTGGCTTTAAAAAATAATTAAAGGATCCAGAGACTCATGTTATCAGATATAAAATGTCCAGGATACGACTGGAAATCACTCAGCACACCAAGAATCAGGAAAACCACAACCTGAATGAGACTCCAACATCAAGACCAGTCATCATTAGGGTTATCGACAAAGATTTTAAAGCAGCCACATAGTAAAAATGATTCAATAGCACTTAAAAAATTCTCTTGAAACAAATGAAAAAATAGAAAATCTCAGCAAGAAACAGAAGTTATAAAAAGAAGAATCAAATGGAAATTATACAACTAAACAATATAATAACCCGAGCAAAAACCTTGCTGGATGGGCTGAATAGTAGAGACGACAGAGGATGGGACCAGTGGACGTGAGGACAAACGGACAGAACTTACCCAGTCTGAACAACAGGCAGAAAACAGACCGAAAAAGAAGCGCCTCAGAGCCCCGTGGGACAAGAGAAGAGGCACGTTTGCATCACTGGGGTCCCAGGGGGAGGGGCCGGCGGGACTGAAAAAAACACCTGAGGAAACAACGGCCGAAATTCCCAAACTAGGAATAGACAAGAGACATAGAGCTACAGCTTCGAGAAGATGAACGAACGCCGTAAGAGCAAACCCAAAGGTATCACGGGCCGGAGGTGTGTGTCCCCCCAGAGTCATCTGGAGGTGGGGCCGGTGCTGGGACTAATGGCCTTTATAAGAGAGACCGGAGGGCTCTGCAGCCTGTCCACCTCCCCTACCGTGGAGACACAGGAGAAGACAGCTGCCTGAGAGGACACCAGCACCCGAATCTCCGGCGCCCAGCCCCCGGGACTAAACGTCTGCTGTGTAAGCTGCCGCATCTGTGGTATCTGCTGTAGAGCCCGAACTAAGACACCAAGACACAGCGTAATTAAATTTCTGAAAACTAAAGGCAAAGTCTTGAAAGCAGCCAGAGAGGAGCCACGTGTTCCTTGTGGAGAAACACAGATCTGAATGGCAGCCGGTTTCTCACTGAAGCCGTCGGAGGCCCGGGAGAAGCAGCAGCATTGCCAGGCGCCGGGAGGAAGAAACGTCTGCTGCGGACCAACGCCCAGCGGCCACGTCCTCCAGCGGGAAGGGAGACGAGACTCTCAGATGAGGAAACCGAGAGAACCTGCCATCGGCAGCAGACTAACCATGAAAGCATGACCAGAGCCCTCCAACAGAAAGGAAACAGAGCAGAAGAAACCTTGTACTTGAGAAGGAAAGGAAGGGTCAGTATTTCGATAAACAAATGATCTGAAGCCAGAAAAACAGACCGTGAACTTAAGTACAGCAGCAACCCTACCTGGCGTGGGCGCCGGCTCCCGCCTGGATGAGCGTGGGCAGGACAGCCATGAATAGTCCCAGCTGCACGTCCTGCGTCACCAGCATCCCCAGCAGCACCGCACCGTAGTCAATGTCGCCTGCTTGGGGAAAAGTCACTAAGAGCGTGTGGACTCAAGTCGGTTAACCTCGACACACGCTCAGAACGCGCGGCCACCTACCTTCCTTGTCACTGCGAGCGCTGCCCACAAGGAACTTGGACACCAGGGGTGTGCTCGACAAGGAGAGGCAGGTGGAGATAAAGACGCTCTGGGTGGGTCTGATCTGTAGAAGGTGGCCCCAGAGCAATCCGAAGGCCACCATGAGCAGAGTCATGTAGCAGGGCCCCTGCAGGGAGATCTTCCACACCTGGCAGAGAGCACAGGGGCGTGCACACACCTCAGTGCCTGCGGCCCCGCAGAGCACGTGCACGCCTGCCCAGGAACCGGCCGGCCCCGCAGCAAACACACCAGCGCACCACCACGAAAAGCGGGGGCGGTCACACGTGGTCACCAAGCGCTGGACATGGTTACGGACGAAGCACGCCCTCCACCCTCTCCGCGTCGTGCACCGCCATCCTCAGAACACAGCTGGAGGTGGGGACCCCTCCTCCCCCTCTTCCAGCGGAAACGGGACACACATGAGTGGCTCAGGTGATTCACGAATAAACAACAGTCAGTCGAGGGCGCGAGCATCCTCAGTGACAAGGCCCGGGAAGGACCTCGCAGACTCGGGCGTCTCTGAACTGTCTCTAATCAGGCCTCTAGGAGATTCACAGAAGACTGAGAGGGGCCTGCCAGCAACTGCTGATGCTTCAAAACCCTACCAAGTAACTTCCCACCGTGACAGGGTCACACGGGTGCCCCACAAGGCAGGACAGCCACCGGTACCGCAGGGTGCACTAAAGCTGTCAGTCATTTATCGCTAAGAAATAAAAGTAAAATAAACGTGGACTTACTAGCGTAGGTATCAATGGATATAAACTTTCTGCACGCTGAGCCCATGGGCCTGCCTACGAAGGGGCGGGATGCGCTCCAGGTGCAGGTCAAGGGTCAGGGCCACCAGGCGGGGAGCAGCCAGGCTCGGTGGCACTCAGGGATATTGGAGCTAGGGGACATTAGAGACCCCAGCTCGCCCCAGACCCAAAGGCACCCAACAGGGGCCGGTCCCCACCCAAGCCCCTGCCCTGACTTACGACACACACCTGCTCCCACGAGCCCTGCCTCAGGCTGCATCCCCCAGCGCAAAATCCCCAAAGCATCACAAAAACATATCACATTGATGAGGGCATGCAAACATCATGGTGAATGACATTACTTTCTTATTTAACCCTGAACACCACAGTGCTGGGAAGGATAGCTATGAGGCTCTGGACCCAGAGGACACCTGAATCTTCCCAACCCCTCATAGCCCAGATGAGGACGCGCCAGCTGAGATGGCTGCACCAGGGACGCGGGGGGAACAGACGCTGCCCCTCTGCACTCCTAACCGCAAGGTAACACCGCTGCTTGCTGTGAACGTCTGAACGCACGTGAACACCGAGGGGTCCAGGCTGCGCTTTCACAGGGCTGCCTGGGAAGACCCTCCCGCTCCCGGGAGACCCCACAGGTCCTCACCAGGCCCCTCTGGCCCAGTCACAACACACACCTCAACGGAATTAACAGGAAGAATTCGGCCACTTCCCTTAGGACCAAGAGAAGTGGCCAATTTTCTTTATACTTTAGATTCAGAAATTAACACATGGAGGTGACTGTGCCAGAAGGATGAAAAAGAATACCAGAGTACCAGGAGAAAACCCTGAACTGACTTAGGACACTGTATGAGGAGGAAAACTGACAGGAAGTGAGTCGTCAGTGGATGGACAAATGGAGCTTTAATAGAAAAAAAGGGGGAGGGACTTCCCTGGTGGCGCAGTGGTTAGGAATCCGCCTGCCAGTGCAGGGGACACAGGTTCGAGCCCTGGTCTGGGCAGATCCCACACACTGCGGAGCAACTAAGCCCATGCGCCACAACTACTGAGCCTGTGCTCTAGAGCCCGCAAGCCACAACTACCGAGCCCGCATGCCACAACTACTGAGCCTGTGCTCTAGAGCCCGCAAGCCACAACTACCGAGCCCGCATGCCACAACTACTGAGCCCGTGTGCCACAACTACTGAGCCCACGCACCTAGAGCCTGTGCTCCGCAACAAGAGAAGCCACCGCAATGAGAAGGCTGCGCACCGCAACAGAGTAGCCCCTGCTCGCTGCAACTAGAGAAAGCCTGCGCAACAGCAACAAAGACCCAATGCGGCCAAAAATAAAAATAAATAAATAAATTTATTAAAAAACAAAAAGAAAGAAGAAAAGGAGACTGGGGAGAGGGGTGGGCCGGGCCGGGCACAGCTGCTCCCTGATGGCAGCACAGGCTCAGGCCGAGCTTACTTCCCTTCCTGCAGGAAGCATGCTGGTGGTCAGAGAGGACTTGGAAAGCAACATCCACGGGTGTTTGGCCATTATTTCCTGTGCTTCTGGGCTCCTTCTGTGTCACCACAGTCACATTATATGCTCACTTTTTCTTCTGAAGTTCAGCATTTAACATTATTTTTCTTTGTTATTGCACAGTCTTATAATACTTTTAATGGCTACATAACAGTCCATCCAGCAGCTACATCACAGCTTAACCTTTAGACACTCAGGTTGCTTTGGATCTTTTATAAAAATGCTACAATGAGGAGCTGAGTACCTTTTAGGGGCTAATTTTAAAAACAAAAACCAAAACTTGGGCCTGACTCTGTCCTCTGCCTAGAAACCCAGGAGCAGAACCACAGATGAAGGACGTGAACCTGGCAAGGCTCTCGAATCAAACTGCCGGACTGCTCCCCAGAAGGGGCACGAGCTGTCACTCTCATCAACCTGGTGGGAGGGTGCCCAGTGACCACCCGCAAAGTCACTGAGACCCCTGCTGACTCGACACTAGTGTCCTAGTTAAGTTGGTGGGCAAAACGGGGCCTGGATGGAGCTGCCCCTTCCTGTAACCAGCAGCTTCCCTGTCATTTCCCACACACCCCCATCTGCTTTCTCATCAGCTTTTTCGCTTCTGTGAGCTGTCTGTTCAAACACAAAGTAGCTTTTCATGAATTCACTTCCAACCTAACTCCGTTTCCATTCTCGAATATTCCGACTTTCAAAGTAATCATTCTAAAAGTCAACAAATTTAGGAGGAACTGTTGTCTCCACTACTTTAACATTTATTCATACATACGGTCCTAAATACTATTAACCTTTCAGATATTTTCATCTTACAGTGACACAGCAATAATCAAAATTTGCCACTTATTTAGGAAAACGAGGAGTTTTTCCCCAGAGTAACACACTGAACATTCCATCCCTATGATATTTCGGCCTCTACCAGCGTTGGACCCTCTTGGAGGGACTCAAAAATCAGTAAGTTTGAACAACAGCACTTCTCAGACCTGGTTTGGAATTAGCCACTGAAAGCTAATTTCATTTATTCACTGAATTTTCACTCTTTTTTTTAAAGATTTTATCTTCTGGAGTTTATGTTCCAAAAATAACATCGAACTACAACACCATATTCTACTCTAAACAGATCTAATCTGCTGGGCAAGTCTCCAACGAATGTGGATGGCGATTGCAGGGCATGTTAATCTCAGTGGGGCAATGACACAAGCACACTGGTGGACTCACCTTTCTCAGCTTCTCTGGGGAAAATTCTAAGCCAACGAGGAAGAGAGTAAAGAACACGCCAAATTCTCCCAATGTCTCCACCTGCACAACAGACTGAAAAACAAGAAAGTTTTAAAACCGTGAAACTTAACGTATTTAAGATATCACGTGCACTTCACAGGACCATCTTGTACTGACACACTCAGTGGGACTCCACCAAAAAGCCCAGTATTTCAAACAAACAAACAAACAAGGATCTGAATTTCCTCTATATCTGAGATACTCTGAACTTCCTGATGGTAGTGCCTTTTTTCCTTTTTCTTGAGTAGCCGGAGGAATATTTTTATTATTTTCTAGGAAACAGCTCATGAATTCACCCGCTTTCAAGTTCATTAATTGCCACTGGTACTTCCATTACCTCCTTCCATTAGCTTCCTTTGGGGACGGGGAGGCATTTAACCTGCGTTTAACACTTAACAGGAGTGCTTCAATTTCCTCGGGTCTGGGGGAGACTGAGCGTGGGATTCTCTCCTGGACCCCATCTGGCCACTCCCCACAGGTCCTGACGCAGTGCCCCTCATTTGCTATTTACCATCAACGTCCCGGCACTGCAGTAGACAGTGTTGTTCATACCAGTACATTGGGTCCTACTTATATTATTTACAGTTGAGGTTTGCATTATGGCCACTAACCGTTTGATTTTTTCAGCGTTCCCTGAACACGTGAAAATAGAGTCCAGGCCTTCGTTTGTCGGTGTGCCACCCAGGCCCCGCCGTGCACCTCCTCTGCCTGCTGGCTGTGAACACCACTGATTTGCCCTCTTTCTATCAGCACATTTCCTCCTTTCACTCTCAACCTTCTAGTCACTTTATTTTTATTCAATCTCGTTTGTTGTACTTTTTTTCCTGAGCCCATCTGCAAACCTGTATTTTTTCATAGAGAAGTTTATTCCACATATATTTGCTATAAAACAACGTTTGCTCTCAATTCTTTTGTCTTCTGCTTTTTATGCTTCCTTACTGCTACTATTTACTTTCCCTTTTGAAAATTACGCTGCAACCTGATTCCAAAGTAACATACTTAAACCTACACTGCTTGACTTAGAAAATGAAAGCCTGGTAACTCCCCACTAGGAAAAGATAAATACTGCAGTACAATTATATACAATTAGACTCTCCATTAACCACTCCCACTCTCGGCTAGTGTGATCTTGGATTTTTATTTTGGTAATTTTATCTTGGTATTTTTGTTCGTTGGTTTGGGGTTTTGTTTTGTTTTTGTTTTTTGTTTCTGGACACACCATGTGGCATGCAGATCTAGTTCCCCGACCAGGGATGGAACCCGGGCCCCCTGCATTGGGAGCGCAGAGTCGTCACCACTGGACCGCCAGGGAAGTCCTGATCTTGGTATTTTTATCTCTTGTAATTATATTATTTTTCCATGGTATAGGTAATTTATTAAAAAATACAATATTCATAGTATCCAGTTGGATCTATTACCTAGTTATTCAGTCTTAATTCTTTGCTTATGAGCTATCTTTGCTGTTAAGTAAAAAGGAAAAGGAAGATACATTTGTGTTTTCCAGTGTTTGCAAATGTTCTGGAAAGGGAGGGATGGGACAAGGTCAGGCAAAGATTTTTCACCTACAGCTTTTTATACTGTTTCAATCACATAAAAACTACCTCTTTAAAAAGCTGAGAGAAAACCGTAATTGAAAAAGAGTCACACACCACAATGTTCACTGCAGCTCTATTAACAATAGCCAGGACATGGAAGCAACCTAAGTGTCCATCGACAGATGAATGGATAAAGAAGATGTGGCACATATGTACAATGGAAAATTACTCAGCCATAAAAAGAAATGAAATTGAGTTATTTGTAGTGAGGTGGATGGACCTAGAGTCTGTCATACAGAGTGAGGTAAGTCAGAAAGAGAAAAACACACACCATATGCTAACGCACATATATGGAATCTAAAAAAGAACGGTTCTGAAGAACCTAGGGGCAGGAGAGGAATAAAGACGCAGACGTAGAGAATGGACGTGAGGACACGGGGAGGTGGAAGGGTAAGCTGGGATGAAGTGAGAGAGTGGCATGGACATATATACACTCCCAAATGTAAAACAGATAGCTAGTGGGAAGCAGCCGCATAGCACAGGGAGATCAGCTCAGTGCTTTGTGACCACCTAGAGGGGTGGGATAGGGAGGGTGGGAGGGAGGGAGACACAAGAGGGAAGAGATATGGGGATATACGTATATGTATAGCTGATTCACTTTGTTATACAGCAGCAACTAACACACCATTTTAAAGCAATTATACTCCAATAAAGATGTTAAAAAAAAAAAAAAGGTTGAATTAAAACCAGGCTTCCCAGAGGCCACCCTGCTGGGTGGTGGCTACACTCATCTCCTCACCAAGGTCCAGGCTCTCAGCCTGCAGCATCCAGGTACTTCGCACCTGGCAACACAGTCTGCTGTGAGGATCAGTCAGTGCGAAGGCAGCCTCGACCCCCCGCGTGTTGTCCAGTGAGGGGAACCCTCAGGACCCTCCAGACCCGGTGCGGGTGGGCTAAGCCGAGGGGATGAGGCTGCAGGTGGAGCACCCGCTTCACCGACTCCCGTTCTACCCAAAGGGGAGCGTCAGGCAGGGCGGGGCACACCGCGGCCCCTCCTCACACCCTGCACTCCAGGTTCCTCGGGGGTGGGACCAGGACACCTCTACATGACATTCTCTTTCACTTTGTCCACATTGCGTTTTCTTTTCAAGGACACAGCTTGAAGCCCACAAGGCTTGGGACTCTTTCCTCACCGTCCAAAGCGCCACCAACACAGGACAAGGCTCCCCTCAATCTGCTCAGCAAACAGCCTTCATCAAGAGCAGCCTCAGCACCCACAGCCAGGCTGGGTCACTGCTCACTACTTTACCAGCTTCTCAGGGTGTTAAGCGTGGATTTTGGTTTTGGGGTTTTTTACATTTTTATTCATTTTCTCACTGCATTGGGTCTTCGTCGCTGTGCGCAGGCTTTCTCTAGTTGCGGCGAGCAGGGGCTACTCTTCGTTGCGGTGCGCGGGCTCCTCGCTGCGGTGGCTTCTCTTGTTGCGAAGCACGGGCTCTAGGCGCGCGGGCTTCAGTAGATGCGGCGCGTGGGCTCAGTAGTCGTGGCACGCGGGCTCAGTAGTCGTGGCTCACGGGCTCTGGAGCGCAGGCTCAGTAGTTGTGGCACGTGGGCTTAGTCGCTCCGCAGCACGTGGGATCTTCCCAGACCAGGGCTCGAACCCGTGTCCCCTGCCTTGGCAGGCGGATTCTTAACCCCTGCACCACCAGGGAAGTCCCAAGCATGTTTTAAAAATACATTTAATCCAGGATTTTTAGTTCCTTTCAGTGTCCGAATAATCCAGTCCATAATATTACTGCAAAGAGAACCTTTAAAACTAATACAATTTTAAAGGCACGAGGAGGATCATCCGTCTGGTCAAGCTGCGCTTCTCACTCATCAATGAACAAAGTGACCGTCTTCTGCTTTAGCGATTCCTCAGGAAACTTTAGAAGACGTCTTCTTTGATGTGATTTATAAGAAACTGCTATCTTGGGCTTCCCTGGTGGCGCAGTGGTTGGGAGTCCGCCTGCCGATGCAGGGGACGTGGGTTCGTGCCCCGGTCCGGGAGGATCCCGCATGCCGCGGAGCGGCTGGGCCCGTGAGCCGTGGCTGCTGGGCCTGCGCGTCCGGAGAGGCCACAACAGTGAGGTGCCCGCGTACTGCAAAAAAAAAAAGAAAAAAAAAAAAAGAAACTGCTATCTTCATTAATTCAAGTTCAACAGACACTAAACAGTTCAATTTTGTTCTTACCTTAATACTGTTGAGTCCGGAGGGCCCCAGAAGCACGCCGCAGATGATGTAACCAAACATGGTTGGCAGTCCTATCGTTGTACAGAGCCAGCCACATGGTAAGGACAACATCCCTATGGTGACGATGTCCTAACGGAAGGATAAACACAAGAAACACACATGTAAGGTAACAGGCAGCAAGAGAAAGGAGAAGGGCTTCCCTGGTGGCGCAGTGCTTGAGAGTCCGCCTGCCGATGCAGGAGACGCGGGTTCGTGCCCCGTTTCGGGAAGATCCCACATGCCGCGGAGCGGCTGGGCCCGTGAGCCATGGCCGCTGAGCCTGCGCGTCCGGAGCCTGTGCTCCGCAAATGGGAGAGGCCACAACAGTGAGAGGCC